TTTTTTTAACTTTTTCCCTTTTTTCCTGGGAATTTTTATTTTTTTTTCCCCATTTCCTCCCCCAAACCCCATCTCTCATCCCGGCAGGTGCGGAACGAGTTCTACAAGGACACGCAGGGGGTGCTGCTGGTGTACGACGTGGGCTCCAAGGAATCCTTCGACTCGCTCGACTCCTGGTTGGCCGAGATGAAACAGGAGCTGGGGCCCCATGGCAACATGGACAACGTCGTCTTCGTTGTCTGCGCCAACAAGGTCCGGGATTGGTGCAGAATTCCCGCCCCGATCCCGTTAAAATGGGCTGGGATTGGTGGAGAATTCCTGCCCCAATCCCGTTAAAATGGGCTGGGATTGGTGGGGAGACAACAGGAATTCCTGCCCAAATCCCGTTAAAATGGGCTGGAATTGGTGGAGAGACAACGGAATTCCCATCCTGATCCCATTAAAATGGGCTGGGATTAGTGGAGAGAGTCAATGGGAATTTTCGCCCAGATCCCATTAAAATGGGCTGGGATTGGTGGAGAGACACCGCGAATTCCCACCCGTTAAAATGGGCCGGGATTGGTGCAGAGTCAACGGGAATTCCCATCCATTAAAACGGTCTGGGATTGGTGGGAAATCAATGGGAATTCCCACCTGTTAAAACGGGCCAGGATTGGTGGGGAGTCAATGGGAATTCCCGTCCTGATCCCGTTAAAATGGTCCGGGATTGGTAGAGAGAGACAATGGGAATTCCCACCCATTAAAACGGGCCGGGATTGGTGGGGAGTCAACAGAATTCCCGTCCTGATCCCATTAAAATGGGCCGGGATTGGTGAGGAGTCAATGGGAATTCCCATCCTGATCCCGTTAAAACGGTCCGGGATTGGTAGAGAGACAGCGGGAATTCCTGCCCCGATCCCATTATAATGGGCTGGGATTGGTGGAGAGACAACGGGAATTCCCATCCTGATCCTGTTAAAATGGGCTGGGATTGCTGGGAAGTCAACGGGAATTTCCAACCATTAAAATGGGCTGGGATTGGTGGGGACTCAACGGGAATTCCTGTCCTGATCCTGTTAAAATGGGCTAGGATTGGTGCAGAGACAATGGGAATTTCCACCCATTAAAATGGTCCAGGATTGGTGGAGAGACAAGGGGAATTCCCGTCCTGATCCCGTTAAAATGGGCCGGGATTGGTGGGGATTCAATGGGAATTCCTGTCCTGATCCCGTTAAAATGGGCTGGGATTGGTGGGGAGTCACCGGGAATTCTCACCCGTTAAAATGGTCTGGGATTGGTGGAGAGACAACGGGAATTCCCTCCCCGATCCCATTAAAATGGGCTGGAATTGGTGCAGAGACAACAGGAATTCCCATCCTGATCCCATTAAAATGGGCTGGGATTGGTGGAGAGTCCCTAGGAATTCCCGCCCTGATCCCATTAAAACAGTCCAGGATTGGTGGAGAGACAGCGGGAATTCCCGCCCCGATCCCGTTAAAATGGGCTGGGATTGGTTGAGAGTCAATGGGAATTCCCATCCTGATCCCGTTAAAATGGGCTGGGATTGGTTGAGAGTCAATGGGAATTCCCATCCTGATCCCGTTAAAATGAGCTGGGATTGGTGGGGTGGGGATGGGGAAGGGGTGGGAGCTGGATTTGGGATTGTTGGGATGGGATTGGGGAAGGGTCGGGACCTGGATCTGGGATTGTTGGGGATTTTCTTGGAAAAAGCCTGGG